GGTGAAAAAACTGAAGGTCAAAAAGATTAATATATATATGTAGCCTTAACATTTGTACCCCCATAATATGCTGAAATAAAAAATAAAATAAAAGCTACAAGTGGAAACTATAAAACTTGTACATCAGAGAGTAAATAAAAGGTAGATATCTCAGGCAGGTAGGCTTGAAAGAAAGATAAATTATATTTTCAGTTAGTTAGTGCATTTATCCCTAAATGTTAATATCAGCAGGATTTTTTTAAACTTGATGAAATAACTTAAAAAATCATTTAGAAAAAAATAGTGGACAAAAACATCAAAGACCATCTGAATGTCTGGCATGGGGTGGGTGTGAAGAATGAAGGAAATTTTATAAAACATTTGCCAAAATTATTTCCATGGATGTAGCTTCTGTATCTGCTAAAATCAGACCATTTTTGATGTGTCCTTAACCTCTTTTGTAAATTTATTAATGTGCCAGTGGGCTTCTGATGCTGCTGGATTCTGATATCCCCTAGTCTACTGAGCCATGGCCAGACACTGTCTCTACTCTTGCCACCCCGCACCGATTCTTAAATTCTTTTTCAGTGTTTTAATTCTCTAGCACTTTCTCTTGCAGACAGTCCTGCTTTCATTAAAAGGTACTCAGATAGCCGGGCATGGTGGCTTATGCCTGTAGTCCCAGCTACTCGGGAGGCTGAGGCAGCAGGATCGCTTGAGCCCAGGAGTTTGAGGTTGCTGTGAGCTAGGCTGATGCCACAGCGCTCTAGCCTGGGCAATAAAGTGAGACTCTGTCTCAAAAAAAAAAAAAAAAGTACTAGAGAAAACTACATTTATTTTTAGAGAAGATTGTAAACTCTACCGCCGCTTATCCCAGTATGGTAGCTACCAGTACATGTGGCTATAATAATTTGAGAATTTTTGTGTAACTTTTATTTATATAGAATTATAAATTACAAACTATTATTTTGCTCATACTTTCAACCACCACACGTGAGGCAGACATGCTAGAGGTAGTAGCTCCATTTCGCAGCAAGATGGAAACACTGTTCCCATATTTAGTATAAGACAGCTTATTTAAGCCCTGGGCTTCCATACTTTCCACTGCTTTTTTCCATGACTTTGCAATACATCATTTTAAAGCAATCTGATTTCACCATGCTTTAAAACATAAGAGCAACATTTATAACATCTGTTGCTGGCAGGTTAACTCTGGAGCCAGCCCACCTAACATCAAAGATCATCTGAATTCTGGGATGGGATGGGTGTGAGGAATGAAGGGAATTATATAAAACATTTGGCATCGGAAGAATGTGTGGCGTGTCTTGTTGAGCCTCTTTCTTAACTCTGAAAATGAACAATGAGCCAGGCTCCCTTGGCCATGCTGGCCCTGAAGATTCCTCCATCTCATCCCCAGCCCCTCCAGTGTCCGCTCTACCGGCAACAGAGAATGTCAGTTCTGTTATTTCTCTGATTGGTTAAGCCTAGCCATGCTGATTCCTGTCCATCCATTTTGGCCATTTTCAGGTGATAGAAGCCCACAATTTCAGAGCTCTTGTCTGCTCCCAGCCTGCCTCAGTTCCTCATTGCTGTTCCTCTGCCACAGTCGTCAACTACAGACCCCACGTGTTCCCAACTGAAGAGA